TGATTTCAAGAAAGTAAAGCATCAGTTCGATACCATCACCGTGAACTGCAAAGAACTCGAGCTAGTGAGCAGTGCCGAAGTATTAGGTGTTACCATATCCAACTCCCTACAATGGGTGGATCATATAAATAATGTTATAAAGAAGGCAAATAAACGCTTGCATTCCCTGGTTTTGCTCAAGCGCGATGACGTCCCTGTTCGTGATATCATCAACTTCTACAACACTTGCATCAGACCCGTACTTGAGTATTGTGCTCCCGTGTTTCATCATGCTCTCCCAGGATATTTGTGTGACGATCCTGAACGCATTCAAAAGCGTGCGTTATCGATTATATCTCCGGGACTTTCCTATATGGACAATCTTACTGTACACCATATCAGTACTTTGAAAGACAGGCGCCAGAAACTTTGTAAGAAACTTTTCCAAACAGTTGTGTCCGATGCTGATCACAAGCTTTACGTTCTTCTGCCGCCCTCAAAGACATCAGCATATAACCTAAGAAGACTGCGTCGTTTTGACTGTCCTGCTACACGAACAAATCGTTTTAGTAATTCTTATATTCTGTCAATGTCAAAAGAGTAGTTTATAAACGATACCATGCAGTAGGGTTCAGATTTGACTTCCCATACCACTTTCGCTGCCTCTCGCTGATTTGTTATGCATGAATTAGTTAATTTAGTAGTCTGAATGTTTGTGATTAGTATGTGAGATGTAAATACTATTTTTGTAAATTTTACGCAATTCAGCTTTTGTAGGCCGCTATGTAAAATCATAATAAACTATCTATCTATCTATCTATCTATCTATCTATCTATCTATCTATCTATCTATCTATCTATCTATCTATCTATCTATCTATCTATCTATCTATCTATCTATCTATCTACTTAACAATTAGACAACGAAGCCGAGTTGTCTATGAGCGAATAGTCAACGAGGCGAAGCCGAGTTGACTATTCGTTCAGAGACAACGAGGCTGAGTTGTCTAATTGTTTTAGTATAAACCACATAAAGAAAACGGAATTTTTTACTTGACTTTTATGTAAAATAATAGCGTTTTAACGAAATGAGCGTTTAAATGGCTTCCTTGGCTTTGGCGACATTTCGTCACCTGCGAACTCCCAAGAATGACTTGAAAAATACAACTTGTGAGTTTTAAGAAAGTTAAAAAAATGTCATAAAACAGTACAATAGTAAGAGACCGTTATAGAAGCAAAGTTTGGTTAATTAAAACTTATTTAAAAGAAGGAAACAAAGCTTAAAAAATCCAAAATTTCGAACACAAAATGGCTTCCCGAATTTTTATTAAATTAGTAAATAAAGTTTACGTCGTTAAAAAGCCGAATAAAAATGCACACACATGCAAAAGAATCCGATTATCCGAATGTCTTTGAAATCTTTAACATATCTGGAACATAAAGAGGCAAACTATTTCCATAATCTAGTATACATAGACAATAGTTTAGATTAAAATTTAATCGAAAAACTCGACTTAAAAAGGCTCGAAAAAGACGAAAAACAAACTCGGCCAAAATCTCAACATTTAAACGAAAAAAACTCTTTAAAATGACAGCTAAATACATGAACTCGTACTTAAAACAAGCACACACTAAAGAGGTTGAGAAAATAGGGGTAAAAAGCTACAAAGTATTGTTGAATTTCAACGATTCACAAACATTAACAAACATTCTGCACATTTTAAAAAATCGCCTGTCACTTTCATGTTCAAAACTACGAGCAAAGTTGAGAAAACTTAAAATTTTTACCGCATGTGTCAGCAGTTTCCAAGAGTCTTTGTTTGTGTGTAATCCAGAACCAAAATTAGACCATTTTGATAAGCTTTTTCCCTTTAAATACAGCTTTTAATGCTTTTAAAACGGCCATTGACTCTCGCGCCCTTCGCCGCTGTTGCTACTAGTAGGCTATCACTAATAGCCTACTAGTAGCGTAGCCAATCAGAACGCACGATACATGATAGCCTACTAGTAGGTTTATACTAATATGGATTAGACAACTAAAGAGAGATCCAATACACCAAAAGACTATGAAAACCAGGGATGTCTTTGACAATGATGATAATTTTGACCACAGAGAAGCGTTATAGAGGCGGCTATCGACAAGAGAAAATTTCTTTTGAAAAGACTTTTCAGAAACACACGGTATCCTAGTGACATTGACTCTTAATGGTTGTTTGTGTTTGATTTATAAAATTAAAATACGATCCTGTGTGGTAGCTATTTTCCCTTAACACATTTCTCTAACCCTCTTCCAAGTCCCGGCGAACCTTCAAATAGGCCTTTGGGGCCACAGATATTTAATGTTAGGAAATCAATTGATATTTGTCATGTGACATTATGCCTCGGAAGTGTAAAGATTGTACCATCAGCGGCAAGCAAGCTTTAAAAAGATTGGCAAGCCATTGACGTCCATGAAATTTCGTCCCAAGAGAGACAACCTTATCTTATATATTCGTGCAAAGCCAACAGCTTTAGA